TATGATAAATAAATGCAATCTCAAACTTTCACCAAACTCGTTACTCAAAAATGACATGGAACTACCTACTCTCACACGAAGCTAAAGTAGGGCCGATTGTTTGACTCACCCACGTGACATCAAATGATGCAACTTTACAAAAAAGCAGTTTGTAGAGACATGTCACTTTTATTGGCAAATGTACTTCATTATGGCAGCCAAAGCACTTTAAATCTCAAAGACTTAGACAGATGTATTTATGATTTTGTGTACACAACTGTAAAACAAAAGAGAGTTTTTGTTTAGACAGCTCTCTAAACAATTTAATTTCATTGTCATTATTTATCATTCATTAAACCTTTCAAATATGATAAATTAGACAACAATAAGCAGGTTATATATACTGATAATATTTAAGAATATAATTTGAGGGGTTATATGAAGTGGAAAAATTTAAAAGAACCACTAGATGTGATGTTCATTTGTGAAATAGTGGAACATAGATCTGAAACAGGTTTTGCAATCAAAAAATAAGATAAAAGATGTTTAAAATAAGATAAAGGAATGTTTATTAAGCAATACAGGAATAGGTGCGGGTCTTAAATTGTGCTTTTGGCATAAGATATAAATGGTTAACCATCATTTATTTATTGTCCTTGTTATAATTTTGTACTTGTTTTTAAATATTAATTATTGGTGTATGTTTGGGTGTTTTTTTGGGGGGTTTTTTTTGCAAATACTTTTTTGTCGTTTTGTTTGGGGTTTTTATGTATTTAAGTGGATTGTAGAATCATTATGAAGGAAACTGACCGACCATAATTGTTTAAAGGATGGGGATGGGATTTGATAAGTGTACAATTCTACCAAGACTATACTTTTAGAAAATCAGTTAAACTTCAAATTACACATTTAGCAATCATCGAAAGACAAATGATTGCCTTTCAGATGGAAAATATGGAAAAGTTCTCTGTCTGTGCAGCACAAAAAAGGAAGAACACTAAACAAGTTTAATCTTTCAGGTGAACCTGGCTCTCCCACTAGCTCTGCCTACAGCTAATGCTAAAAAAATAAGAGTCTACTTAGGTAAAATTTTTGGTTTACTTAAATGCACCAATGCACCTTACTGAAAAAGTTAAACACACAAGTAGAACCAGTTAGTCCGGAGCCCCATGTTAGCTTTCGAATGAGCTGCCTTAGCCAGACTTTCTTAAAATAGTTGCAGCAACAACTAAATATTGTAATTGCAACAATTTCTTGAAAATTTTGTAACACTGCTCTTGTTCTCCTGCCCTGTTGTTAATGGCCCTTCAAAATTTTTACATGCTTTTGTCTTTATTTTATGTTAGTACACCCAGCGCTGTACGCAGGGCCCAAAAAATACTGAGGTCAAGAGTCAGAACATCTAGTTACCATAGTGAGAGTGCATGTTGACTTAGGAGGTTTAAACAGCTGCTTTTATTAGATAGTTGCGCTAGTTTTCTTTCTTGAAATATAAAACACCTCACAGTTTAGTGAGAGACCAAGATCGTCGTCCTTGTTGAGTATATTTCTGTTTTGTGTTGCAAAGCCATGTTAAACTGCATACGTGCACTACTGTGTTACACTGAGCATGTGCAAGATAAATGGTGTGTGAGACCAAGAAGAGACAACATGTCCGACTTATTCCCGTATAAAGCCATAAGTAGGCATTAGTAAAACTTCTTAGCGAATGCTTTCACGATAGACTGACTACAGTCAGTTTCACTGGAATTTATTTTGGTGAATGTCACAATTCAGTGTATTCTCATTATGAGTTCGTATGAAATCGTACGAAAAGTTATGCACCGTAATTTCGTACGTTTTTGAGGTTTTTTTCGTCGCATTTTGTTGTATTTTCACGTCTTGCCTCGAGACAAGATATCCTTGCGCATGCGCATCTTACGCACCATTCAATAACATAGAATTTAACATAAAATTAACCCTAACCCTGACCCTAACCCTAAGATACAAAACAGCAAGCAACGTAGTTAGAGACATGAAGAAGTAATTATTGCACTGTTTTTCCCAGTTTTACGTCCGTCCGCAGATCTGCTTTTTTCGTCTGTCTGCCTGCGCATGCGAACTGATCTGTTTTTTGGGGGGGGAAAACGTCAAAAATGTGCGAAATACTGTGCATAACTTTTCGTACGATTTAATACGAACTGATAATGAGAATATGTTGCACAATTTGAGCAATGAATTAATTAATAAAATACAGAAGACACGACCATTGTGTCCTCAATGGTCGTTACGGCCCTGAGTACACCCTATTCTTGGTGTTGCATGCCTTTGAAGTCTTGGTCTTGGCTTGGTGTCCTCTGCCATTGGTCTTGGACCAGTTTTCATCACTCTCACAGTCTTACAGTCTTGGTATACTCAGGTCTTGGCTGTGCCTCACCTATAAAACTTGGTCTTGGCATGCTTTGCTCTAGGGTTGTATGGTCTTGTCTCCCTTTGAAGTCTAGTCCTTGCCTTGACCCTTTTTTCAGTTGGTGTTGGACTAAATCTCACCCTTCTTATAGAACTGGTATACTCTGTTGTTTTCCCCTGCCACTGGTCTGGTCTCAGTTGGTCTCAGTTGGTCTTAGTTGGCACGTTCAGACTGGTCTTAGTTGGTCTCAGTTGGTCTCAGTTGGCATGCTCAGTCTGGTCTCAGTTGGCATGCTCAGTCTGGTCTCAGTTGGCACCCTCAGTTATTTGCCTTTGTTGGCCAATCTAAGCTTGTTGTTGGTCTCATCTCCCTACCCTGCAAGGCTTTCTACCTCCGCACGTCTTTAATATCAAGACCAAGAGAATCTGTTTTTGTCTGTCTCTCTTTCATTTTTCAAATGATAAAACATCAAATATACTACCGCTGCATTTGAAGCTCAGTCCTGGTAGAAAATTACAAAATCATGTAGACAAGTGGTGAAGGTAGGGATTTTAATTTCCTGTCATAAATACAGACCCCTTAGAGAAACAAACATGCAAAAACAGGCTCCAATGCTCCCTTCTGACCTGAAGAAGAAGGATGATGAAGGTAAATAATGCTGCTAAATAAATGAAGACCCAGTCCCACCCCATGTTTGGGGGACTAGGAACAAAAATGAGGCATTTCTATGAATCCAAAACTTAAAAGGTTCAAGGTGTTTGATTCCTTTTTTTTGAAGTAACTGAGCTTATGTGCTGCTAAAGAGCTTCACAGCTCACTTACATCTCAGGTTTTAAAGAGTAGGTCTCAATAGGTGAAGAAATGGCTGAATTATTTATTGGGGGAAGTATTTCAAATCTCTTTTCAATACTGCGCAGAGACAGAAAAGAGAAAATATTAAAATGAGGCTTCACTCTTGTTCAGACCTCATTAGCAAGTCAGTCTTGGATGTGCAACTGGTGCCATGATAGAGGACTCAGGGGGCTTTATCTCCTCCACTGCTGGGTTTAATTTCTTTAGCACTTCCGAATTAGAAACATGCAAAACAAACATTGTGAATTAAAACAGCTTCTTTTCACACAGTATTCATCCGGTTGTTGTTGATGCAGGGGTGGGAAGAAAGCGGCAGTAAATTTGCCCAGCTCTGTGATTTATTGTATACAGCAGAGCTGGAGAAGTTGATTAACACAAAAAAAAAACAGGCTTGCAAATCATCACTGGATGAAGCACACACCGGTGCACGGGCTTTGGACAAGAGGCTTTTTTTATTTTTTATTTTAGTTTGTGCTTCTACACCAACCATTTTAACATATTCCATTAATTCCACCAATGGGTTTTTTCTTGCAAAGAGCAAATAATTCATAAATGGTCATTTTAAGAGAAAGATTTTATGTGGTAAAATCTTATTTTTTTAGAAAAAAATAAAGAAACTGACAAACGTCCCTAAAAAATTAGACAGGCAATACATGTATGGATGGATGGATGTATGGATAGATAGATAGATAGATAGATAGATAGATAGATAGATAGATAGAT